TTTCTTTCTTTCTTTCTTTCTTTCTTTCTTTCTTTCTTTCTTTCTTTCTTCCTTCCTTCCTTCCTTCCTTCCTTCCTTCCTTCCTTCCTTTCTTTCTTTCTTTCTTTTGTTGTTGTTGTTGTTGGAGCTGAGGACTGAACCCAGGGCTTTGCACTTGCTAGGTAAGCACTCTACCACTGAGCTAAATCCCCAACCCCAAACTCAGTGTTTTTAATGAATGTAAGCTCCTTAAGGTTTGCCTCAGTATTTCAATTTTGCTGAGCAGACTTGTGCTTTGATAAAAGTTAATGACAATATTAGTAATTTTATTTTTTGTTTTTTTCGAGACAGGGTTTCTCCATGTAGTTTTGGTGCCTGTCCTGGATCTCACTCTGTAGCCCAGGCTGGCCTTGAACTCACAGAGGTCCACCTGGCTCTGCCTCCCAAGTGCTGGGATTGAAGGCATACGCCACCACTGCCCGGCCAGTAATTTATTTTTTTTCCTGACTGTTCACAATATGAAAAAGTACTATGCAGAGAAAAAGAGAAGCAGAACATATGGGAACCATAGAGGGAGTCATGATGAAAGAGAAAAAGACAAGTCTTGTGAGTGGCAGGCTTTCTTAAAACCCAGAGACCTCATGGCCTTACCTCATCCAGTTGGCTTGGGACTCATCCTGCCCATTGACATACTCATAGCAGTTTCTCCCCTTGGTGATCTGAGTTTCAGAAAAAAATATGTTAAGGCTCTGGGATGACACGAATTAAATTATGTCATTCCACTCTCATCAGTGCCTCCTGAGCTTTGGACTCAGCCACTTACAGTGACCTCATGTGATGGTCTGAGTCATCGTGTACACATGGGTTTTCTTTGTCTCTGTACCACTCTACTCCTACTCACCTTCAGATCTTGAAGCAGGGCTTCCATAATTGTACAAAGACCACTCAGTACACAGAATTAGTCATGTTGCCCCTGTCCATGTCCTAGTATGTCACACCAGAAGCAAAGAAAGGAGGTGGGGAGACAGAGGATGAAGGAAAAGGAGGCATTTCTTACCAGCCAGGAGTATCCACTGTTGGCTGCCTCTTCATCCTCTGTGATCTGGCCTTTATAGGGGCCAAAGTGCAGACCCACTGGCAGGTCAGAGGCTTCATTCCATACTCCAAGTCCAGCCTCAGGGATGCCTGATGAACCAATTCTCAGTCCATGAGGCAGACTGAGGACTGAGTGGTTGGGATGCCCTCTTTCCACCATACTGTCTTTTATGAATATAGGAGGCCCATGATTGGGACAACTGTTGATGAAGAAATTCTGGCACTTCTCACAATCTAAGATAAGAAAGCAGGGATTGGGGAAAGTGTGTGAACATTCCCAGATCTGAAGATCTTCAGAAAGAGCACAGCACCCCTGCCATCCCTCTAAATCTGTACCCAAAGTCACTAGAGTAGATATAATCTAGGCTCCAAATGACCAGATGAGCCTTCTACATGGGAAGGCCCCGATGGACACTTACAGAGATAGTCATCATCCTGGGGCTCGCTGATCTCTTTATATGCAAGGCCCTTTCTCTCTCGCAGACTGTACATCTTCACTTCAACATTCTTTTTCCTGAGTTCTGGATTGGAGAGAAAAGGTGAGTTAAAGTTTGTGACTATGTTTCTTCAGAAAACCTAAAATTTGGGTCTGGAAAGGTGGCTCAGCAGTTAAAAGCACATGCTGGTCTTGTAGAGAACCCAGGTTTGGTTCCCAGCACCCACACAGTGGTCACAACTTCAGTTCTAGGTAATCAAACACTGTCTTCCAGTCTTTGCAGGCATCAGGCGTGCAAATGACACACGCATACATGTGGAAGAAGATGCTCATACACAGATAAAAATAAATTTTTAAAAAACTAAAATTTATTAGAAAATGTGGAATTTACTGCCATAAAATTATCTTATACCATTCCATATACTCTGCTTCCCCTTTAACTTTCTGTTTAAAGAAGCTAAGATTCTGCCTTCAACTGACTGCAAATGCCTAATCCAATTTTAATTTCTAAGTTTTCAGGTTTAATTTCTACTTGCCCACATTTTCTACTCAAAAATGGTTCCTTCACACATGTTGATTCATTTAGAGAATATTTGTTGAGAGCATGCTGCAGATTAGGCATTTAGCAAAGCTTTCAGGCTTTCAGAAGCAGTTCAGCTGAGATCCGTTTGGATGAGGACTCAGAGGTTTCCAGTTTGAGGAAACAGAATTGGCTGAGGAGTTGTTGAGGTGAGGTTAGCCATGGCTTATTTTGCTTCTCTGATCTTTCAGAATTCATACCAATACCTGGCTCCTGAGTTTGTTTTTATTAATAAGACCATTTAAGATTCATCTTACACCCTGGTACCTCCATGTGAATAACAGCCCAAGTATATGCCTTTAAAGTCAGTGTCCTGACACAGTACTTAATAGCATGCCCACTACTTGCCACAGCTTAGACAAGGCCAAGCTCAGAACTATCTGAAGTTCGCTACACAGACCATTCTAGACCATTCTCATCAACCTTCCTAGAGGGATTAAAGTTCCCAAATTATTTACTCTTACTTGGTTTTTGTTCAGAGTGCTGTCCAGAGGCATTTCCTTCTCCAGGAGAGGACACTGGTTTCTGGGGGTGTTCTGAGCCACTTGTATTCAGCAAATTTTCTATTCCAGACACTTCTTTCACATTAGATTCATCATTTAAGAACATTCTAGGTGCTCCCTTTAATTAGAGGCACATATTAAAAACACAACAGGCATTTTTATAGTTCTTTACGGCTTTCCACACATTTTCACATGAGACTTTAGTTAATGTGTGAAAAATCTTGGGACATGTGTGGACTGTCTGAATAAGAAAGAGAAAAGGAAAAACCTAAATGGGCTGAGAACTAGGGCAAGAGGACATATCCTAGGCTCTCTCCCTTCTGGCTTTTTTTTTTTTTTAAGGCTTGAGGGAGAGATATTTGGGAAGACTAGCTGGAAAGTCAACAAAGTTTTTGAATGAAAACAGTAAGGCTTACAGAGAGAAAGAAGGCATATCTATAAAGTAGGAGATATTTGATGAGATAAGAAATGATGTAGAAAACAAAGTAAAGACAAAACACACCTATAAAAGGCAGTGACAGCAGAACAGTAACTTTGGGAAGAGAATGAGGAGATGGTTGGCAGAAATGTACCTATACAACTAAGCGATGCTAAAATTGCAAATTGGCAAGTTGGAAATAGTTGACTCCAGAATTAGGTTGTTTGTTTGAGACAGGGTCTCATTATTTAGGCTGGCCTCAAATTCACAGGACTCTCCTTAAGTCCTCCTACCTCAGCCTCTCAAGTGCTTGAATTACAGATCTGAGTCATCATGCTTAGGTTGACTCTCTGGAATTAGACTAACTAGTTCTTGTATTAATTTTGCCAGAAAATTCACTAGTTTTCTCATTCATAAATGTGTATACATGCTAATTGTTCATTTTTAAAGATTTATTTTCATCTCTCTCTCTCTCTCTCTCTCTCTCTCTCTCTCTCTTTTCTCTCTCTCTCTGTGTGTGTGTGTGTGTGTATACACACACATGCATGTGACACATGTTCACAGGTTCTGTCAGGGTCAGACAAGGGCATTCAAATCTTGGAGTTAGAACTAAAGGCAGCTTTGAACTTCACAACTAGAAACCAAACTCAGGACCTCTGGAAGAATAAGTGCTATCAACCAGTGAACCCTATCTCCAACCTCCATACATGCTAATTCTTTTTGTGATACTGAATATAACATGTGCAACTGAATACATGTGAGATAGTCTCTCCCACAGATGACATTTAAATGGAATAATGTATGCCTATAAGGAAGTCTTATATCATTTTCTCTTCCTCGTTCCAAGACTCACTATATCACTGTGTACCCATGGCTGACTTGGAAATCCTTACGTAAATTAGGTTGCCTCAAACTCAGAGCATTCCTTCTGATACTGCTTCCCACATAACTACAAGCATGCACCACCATGCTTGATTAAGTCATTTTCTTATTTATGGATTCCTTGCTATCAAACTTGAATCTTCTTAGGGCTGAGAGCTGCTCTTTCCTATAATAATGAGTCTCTATGAGGGGAGGATCATATCTCCTTTATCTGTGCTATCCAAAGTAAACTCCTCTTCATATTTGTAAACTACCCTTAGAGTATATTAGTATATTTCTCACTTGACATAGCAGAAAAAAAATGAGGTACAAACACTCAGGTGAGTGATGTAAAATGGCTAATGCTATGACTTTACAATAAGAACTTATACATGATTTAGAGAAAGAATTTTGGAATTGACTGCACCACTGCTTGCTATGATCTTAGGTATAATTACTGGACATTTCAATTCCTTATCTATAAAGTGGTTATAATTTACTACCTGTCTCATAGTGTTTATTAATATAAAATGCTTATGATCTGAAATATTGTAAAAATAAAACAAGTCCAGTTACTATTGTTGATGGTCTCAATAATTCAAATGATGATGAGGATGAGAGAAGATGCAGAAGAGACTGGGAAGGCAGTGTTCCCAGGGTGCTCTATGCCTTCTTCTTATCTGTGCTTAGAGGCATAGGAAAGTTTTCATGTCTGTAGGATTTGAAAAGGACTTACCTTCTGTTGTTTAGTGTGCTTCACTCTGAAAGGCACCCAAGAAGGACTACCTGAAAAGTGATGAGTAATCAGTGTTTTGGTTGGTACATATTTTTACATGTGGGATTCTCAGCAAGAACAGAGAATTCTGAATAATTGAGTGAAGACTTCAAGGATGACCTAAGGGTGATATGAAAATTGTTTCTGAAATTTATCAACCCTATCTTTCTATTGGGGGCATTGCTGACTTTAAGTTTATTTAAAAACAGACAAAACTCATCTTCTCTTTATCTTGTGTTTGTAAGATATCTATTGCATTTATTTTCAAGTAAATAAGTCAATCGACCTGTGATGAGGGAAAAAAAAAACCTAGATAAACCAAGAACAAGAAGAAATTATGTACACATAAAAAAGTCATGCAGTGGGGCTGGAGAGATGGCTCAGTGGTTAAGAGCACTGACTGTTCTTCCAGAGGTCCTGAGTTCAATTCCCAGCACCCACATGGTGGCTCACAACCACCTGTAATGAGATCTGGTGCCCTCTTCTGGCATGCAAGGACACATGCAGGCAGAATACTGTATACATAATAAATAAATAAATCTTAAAAAAAAAAAATCATGCAGTAAAAGATCATTTTCAGTATCATTCTCAATAGTGAAAAATTGTAAGTCTTTCCCCTAAGGTCACAATAGGCTTGCAAGAATTCTCATTCTTGCTATTTTTACTTAACATAATACCAAAAGTCCTGGTTAGAATAAGTAGGCCAAAATAAGAAGTACAAGTCATCTTAACTAGGAAACAAAGAAGTCATTTTATAAATTTTATACACAGAAATCCCTTAAGGTTCCACAAAAGTTGCAGGACATAAAATAACCACTTAAAAATCAGTTGTGTTTTTATACACCCACAGTAAACAATCCAGGAAGGAAAAATTTTTTAAAGTACATCTACAAAGATTATAGGAATAAAATATTTAGTAGTAAAGTTATCCAAGGATTTAAAAGATTTGGACACCAAAAAATGACAAAATATTACTAAAAGAAACTGAAGACTCAAAGAAACAGGAAAAATAGTCTGTGTTCATGGCTTATACAACAATATTATAAAAGTTTATATTATCTCAAATGACCCACAGATAAAATGTATTCACTATCAAAATGCCAATGCCATATTTTGCTGATTTAAAAAAATATCAAAATTAATACAGGATCTTAAGGGAATCAGAACAGCCCAGTGAATCCAAAAAAAAAAAAAAAAACTTAAGATATATCAACATGGATTAAAGAACTATACTTAAGGTATAATACTATATAAAAACCATTAGAAGAAAACTAGACAAAATCTTCATAACATTGGAAACATAATTGATTTCTTGGATATAATACCAAAAACAGAGAAGTAAGATCACATTAATCATAAAAGCATCAAACAAAACAACTGAATGAAAATGAAACCTAATGAATAGAAGAAAGTATCTGCAAAGCATATATATAATAAGGGGTTAATTTCTAGAATACAAAAAGGACTCCTACAACTCAGTAACCACAATATCAACACAAAATAACTCAAAAATAGGTGATTAGACTCCAGCTTGTTTTCCCCAAAATCAATTATTTTTGTATTTAAGTTCTATTTCCTAATATCATATTTGGAAACAGAACCTTTGGAAGTTAATTATGACAAAGTGACACCTGCAAATGTGGCCCCATAATGAAATTAGTTCTTTCATAGATAGAGATTCTTCTCACTTCTACCTGCTCCCCCTCTACCCACCATGAACACAGAGTCCATGTGAATACACTATGGAGATCTCTTACACACAAAGAAGAAAGCCATTGAAGCCTGACCAGGGTAGCACCCTCATTTTGGATTTCTAGCCTCCAGAACTGTAAGAAATATATTTCTGCTTAAAAACTTAGTGCATGATATTTTGTTATGACTAATTATTAGCAAAGGGCTTGAACATACATTTCTACAGATATATAAGTGGCCAATAACCATAGAGAAAGGTGATCAACACAATTAATTATCGGAGAAATGAAAATTAAAATCCCAGTGACATATCTATATTCTTTAGGATGCCTGCTTATTTAAAAAAAAAAAAACTTGCAAGAAGTAATGGCAAGGACAAGATAAAATAGGAATGCTTGATCACCTTTGGTGGGAATATAAAATGTTGCAACTATCAGAAATAGTAAGTCCCTATAAAATTAAAATAGAATTATTTTATGATTCGATCCTGACTTCTTTATGTACATATAAAAAGTGAAGCTGGGCGGCGGCGGCGCACACATTTAATCCCAGCACTCAGGAGGCAGAGGCAGTCGGATCTCTGTGAGTTTGAGGCCAGCCTGGGCTACAGAGTGAGTTACAGAAAAAATGCAAAGCTACACAGAGAAACCCTGTCTCGGGAAAAAAAAAAAAAGTGAAAACAAGATCTTGAAGAGACATTTTCACATCCATGGTCATATTAGCATTATTCTTAACGAGCAAGAAGTAGACTAGACACTAGGTAAGGTGTTTATGCTAACTGTTCTGGGTTTGACATTTCTTGTTTATGCCCAGATTTGTATATATTTCATACTTGTTGTATATATAAATAGTATACAATTTTCGGATATTTTAAAATGTACAGGAATAACTTCTTACTGTATATTGCCTTGTTTTTGTTTTTGTTTTCTGACCTTTGAGGCTTGATGGGGGAAAAAAAAACCCAGTTTTCAGAAGTTAATTCTAAAACATTTCTGAAACCTAAATCTGGCCTGGTTTCAAATGGGTACTTCTAAATCTTCCTGACCTCTCACCTTACTTCTAAATTCTCCTAGCCCCTCACCTTGCTGCTTAGGTGTCCATTCTTCATCAGAATCCTCACTGTCATCTATCTGGGGCTTGATTCGTTGCCTTTGGTAACACATGAAAGCTGGCCTAGGGGCTCTGAGACCTGAAAAAAAGCAAAATATTCCTCTTAAAAAGGAAGCAGGCCCTAGAGGAAGGAAAAAAAGAAAAGTATCACAAAGCCAGGTGGGTTCTGGGAGAGGAGATGGGATCTTAGTATGGCCAGTGTTGTGCTGGCACTCAGCCCTGGACAGACACACACACACACACACACACACACACACACACACACACACACACACACACAGAGTTTACTCTAAACTTGTCTCCATGGGAATTGGAGACTTGGGTTTTGCCTAGGCTGATCTGACCCAAGACTTCTTGTTACCTATAGAAATCAGCATTTTATAGTTCCTTTTCACGTTCCTATAGCGAATTTTCTCCCACTCTCCCATCTCTGCCCATTCTTCTTTGGAGAAGTACATGGAGATATCTTTGAACTCATCTTTGACCTGGAGGAAAAAAATAAGAACAAAAACCAGAATGTGCAGGGCAGAGCATGGGACCCTGGGGTGCTCTCAGTGATGAAGATTTTTTTCCCATTCCCAGAGGCCTCTTTAAACAAACACTGGATGTTCCTGTTAGTAAGGCAGTTGATAATGAGCCTTTCCTCTCTCACAAAGCAGGACCCACCATCCTGTCATTGGAAAACCAATATGGTAGTGTAGGGCAGGAGTCTGCGGTCCCAAAGGCCATCCGTTTGCCTCTGTACACCCTATGATTCTCCTGACTCTAGGACCTTTTTTTTTTTTTTTTTGGTTTTTCGAGACAGGGTTTCTCTGTGTAGCTTTGCGCCTTTTCCTGGAACTCACTTGGTAGCCCAGGCTGGCCTCGAACTCACAGAGATCCGCCTGGCTCTGCCTCCCGAGTGCTGGGATTAAAGGCGTGCGCCACCACCGCCCGGCTAGGACAACCTTTTTGTACCTTGGGCTTCCACTCAAGTCTCCCTGCATCTCCCTCTGGACTATTCTCTTCCAGCTTGTTGGTGCTCATGGTGCAGGACATTTCCCTGGGGAGGTCCAGGATCCTATGGTCCTACGGAGGGAGAAGTAACTAAGGCTCATAGGCGAGCGGGGAGGCCCACCAACACAAGGGAAGGAACTGGAGTCTGGCAATCCATGCAGCCAACACAGCTGTTTTTTCAGCCGCTGTGGTCTAGAGAGCTGGTGAAGGAGCAGTGGTTGGGGACTGAGCCCTAGGCGGCTGGCCTGCATCCCGGTTAGGGCCTGTGTTAGCAAGTGGAGGAGGATTCTTCTCGCCGCATGGGGTTCCAGTCCTGCCCCTGCCACCTGGGATCTGGACCAAAGAGTCAGGGCAGAGCACTTGGGCCTCTGACTGACCATGTTGGGTTTGGAGAGATGTTTTCATGTTACTGGATTCGGGAATCCTGGAGACAAGGGATTGGAGTGCCCCTGATGAGGATTTAAGGACCCTTTGGCTTAGATTTTTAATTTAGAGTACCTCAGGTTAAGGACTGTGGTTTGTCCGGTTGAGGGAATTGGGATTTGTAGGGGGGGGGGGTGTCTCTCAGGCTGTGAGCATTTGGGGTTCTTCAAGGTCTGGGGACTTTCAGACTGAGGAGATTTGACATGCTTGCGCCAAGAAGATTTGGGGTTTATCATGTTGTAGGTATCTAGAGTCCCGCTGGATGAGAGCATTTAGGACCTTGGAAGCTGATTTTAAGGAGTGACAGGAGAGATGGCTCAGAGGTTAATAGCACTGGCTGTTCTTCTAAAGGTCCTGAGTTCAATTCCCAGCAACCACATGGTGGCTCACAACCATCTGTAATGAGATCTGGTGCCCCCTTCTGGCCTGTAGGCACACATGCAGGCAGAACACTATACATGATAAATAAATCTTTTTTTTTTTTTTTTGTTTTTCGAGACAGGGTTTCTCTTGTGTAGCTTTGCGCCTTTCCTGGGACTCACTTGGTAGTCCAGGCTGGCCTCGAACTCACAGAGATCCGCCTGCCTCTGCCTCCCGAGTGCTGGGATTAAAGGCGTGCGCCACCACCGCCCGGCTGATAAATAAATCTTAAAAAAAAAAAAAAAGGAGTGACAGGTCATCGGTACTAAGGGTTCTGGGGGTCTCTGGGGCTTAGGAGAGTCTCTACACCGAGAGTCTACAGGTTTCCGCTCTGGAAACTTGGTCTCTCTGTGGTGAGCTACCCAGGTTCCTCAGGCAGAGGGTGGGTTGGTTCCACGCAGGTGCATTTGGGACTAAACCGAAGGGCATTTGGGGTTCCCGAGAAGCTGAGGGGTGTGTGTGCGTGTGAGAGAGAGAGAGAGAGAGAAGCTGAGGGGTGTGTGTGTGTGTGTGTGTGTGTGTGTGTGTGTGTGAGAGAGAGAGAGAGAGAGAGAGAGAGAGAGGAGAGAGAAGCTGAGGGTGAGAGAAGCCGAGGGACCGTGGGGTCTCACGGGCTGAACCGAGAAAGTGCCGCTGGCTCCCGAGGGCGTCGCCGCTGCTGCAGGCCCGGGATGCGGTCGGCCTCGCGCGCCCGCCGCCGCCGCCGCCGCCGTCCTCTGAGGAAGCCGGAGCTGACTGACACGCACGGCCGGCCGAGGGGCGGGAGCAGGGGGAGGGGGCGGAGCTCTGCCTGTCAGTCACGGGGCTCTCCTCCGGCCGCCCCGCCCCTCGCTGGGATGGGCGCCAGGGCCCGAACGGGCGGTGTCCAGTGCGCAGGCGCGGTCTCGTCCTCCGCGCGGCGTCAGGTTTCTTGTTTTTTTCCTGGTCGGGCTGGGTTGCCTGAGCTGTGTCCGGTCTGCAAAGGGTGCTTCGGCGCTCAGTCCTGCGCTAGCGCCGCGTTTCTTTCACTCAGTCTGCGGCTGGAGCTGGACACTGGGAAGCCAGTGGTTGGGTTGGAAATCTCTGGGGCCGGAAGTCCAGCTTCGGCAGGAGTACAGTGAGCTCCAGTCCAGCCTGAGAGAAGTAGCTAGTCTCAACTATGTAAACAAAATCAAGTAAAACAAACCTGGGTCTCCTGAAAAGAGCCTAAAAATCTATCAAGCTGTGAAAGGTTTTTGATACTTACAGCCACCAGTTTAACAATAAATTTGAGAAATATGCACATAGGTTTATTAGAAAGTTCGTGAAGTGCTAAAAGAGTGCCTTGTTTAACATAAATCGTGATTAGGGCCTGGAGAGATGGCTCAGCGCCTAAGAGCACCGGCTGCTCCTCCAGAGGTCCTGAGTTCAGGTCCCAGCAACAGCCATCTGTAGTGGGATCTGATGCCCTCTTCTGGTATAAAGACGTACGTGCAGATAGAGCACTCATACATAAATGAATAAATGGATCATGATTAATTAATAGACGTTAGTTTATAAGAGGGTGGGGAGACGGCGCAGTGGTTACGAGCACTTGTTACTCTAGCAGAGAACACGGGGCAGCTCACAACCTCCAACCCCTGTAACTCTAGTTCCAGGGGATCAGACTTTATGACTACCTACACTTACGTGGTGCACACACATACACTCAGACCTACATAAATACACATAAAATAAATAAATCTTTTTATATAAATAGATTTTTAAAAAGAAATTATAACTTCTAATGACAACAATACAAACTGCCTGCTGCTAGACAAAATAAACAGGCTCCCTTCCCGACCTACTCTAGTTTGACTTCCCTTCAATTCTGCTAAGCAGAATTAGACTTTTAAAAAATATATAGTTTGCCGGGCAGTGGTGGCTCACGCCTCTAGTCCCAGTACTCGGGAGGCAGAGGCAGGCGGATCTCTGTGAGTTTGAGGCCAGCCTGGTCTACTAAGCGAGTTCCAGGAAAGGCACAAAGCTACACAGAGAAACCCTGTCTCGGAAAAAACAAACATATATATATATTTCATGAAAAGATTTAAAATTTTTGACAGTTCTATGAAAGCACTGTTTATTGGCTGTCATAAGTTTGAAATAAGTAGACATAATCAGCTTAGATCTATGACTCTGACTTCTGAGTTTGTCCCTCACTACCTTGTTGATCTAAAACTTTCAGAGATTGTCTGGGCTAAATCTATTTAAGGAACTGTAACTGTAGATGTAAAATCTAAACAAATTAGGAGCCTGACCACCCACATAATGCTGGAGGGAATGTCGACTCCACAAAGTTGTCTTCTGACCTGTATACATGCACTGTGTTGTGCAGGAGGATGGACACACACACACACACACACACACACACACACACACGCATGCAAATTAATCTTCCTAAAGGACTACTATCTGCCCATAGACCAATTGGTGCATTTGCTTATAATCAATATAACTATAACAAAGCAGTCTGTGTAGCAGAAGCCACGTTCAGGATGATTGACTCTAGCAAAACATAGCAGCTCAATCCTTAAAATACTGACAGGCAACAAACTGAGAACAGCCATGGAAGGAAGCAGATGGACAGTTCGTACTTGTCTGGTTTTGTTGTTTTTTGGTTTTTTGTTTGTTTGTTTGTTTTGTTTTTTGGGGTTTTTTTTGGTTTTTCAAGACAGGGTCTCTATGTAGCTTTGCACCTTTCCTGGAACTCACTCTGTAGTCAAGGCTGGTCTCGAACTCACAGAGATCCACCTGGCTCTGCCTCCCTGAGTGCTGGGATTAAAGGCATGTGCCGCCGCCGCCGCCGCC